GTTGCTTGTGTGGGCTAGGCCACAACTCCTAGGCTTACTTCTCCATTTGAGTGCTCCTTCTCCTTACGGTTTTAGAATTGAGGGGCCCACCAATGAAGGAAAAGCATGGGAGACGAGAGGCTTTTTCGATACGCCTGCAGAAATTTCCTTTGACTATTACGTTGACGAGAGTTTTTGTGATTGTTGACGGCAGCTGAACGCAAAACGCATCCCACTTCGAGGGCTCATCCCTGAGCACAGAATGTAACGCGCTGACGTGACCTGGCCTTTTCCTTTATAAACTGAAACCCTTAATCTCTTACTGTTTAGTCGACATACTACTGACAAGCTAACAGATGACGTATGATTTACGCTGACAGAATAGGGGCAAGCATTTTAGCGCTCAGCACGCAAAATATTTGAATATACTGCACTATTTACCCTTTACTGCCCCAATCCTCGAATCTTTTCCTGTTCTTGACTGACTTTTTTATCTGTGAGCGGAATTGGCTAAAAACTTGTCTAAGGTAGTTTCACCTCCTGAATCTGAATTCACATCCACTCTGCACGAAACCTTCTAGCGCCCGCGCCACAGGCGCCGGTGACTTGGGGAGTTTTGGCGCCGATGTCCGTAGCGCGAGCGCCAGGAGGTGTGTTCAAGAGGTCAAACTACCCCAGAGACCAATGTTTAACCAATTCCGCTTATGGAGAAAAACGTCGCCGGGTTTCGGATGATTGGGGCAATAAAGGGTGAATAGTGCCGAATATGCTATTACCAAGAGTAATACCACCTAGTCTTGAGAAGGGTGCTACTTTTCGACGAAATCCAATGCCCTCCTCTATGCAGAAGATAAAAGAAGCGGTGTGAAAAGGTTAAATTTTGGAAGAAACGAATTCCTCGTGGGTAACTTGTTATGTGACGTCAGTGACACGTCATCTGCTACCATGTCAGTAACATGTCTCTCGTCTCTCCGAGTAGGTAAGAGAACACAGATACACTTGCTACAACTTTGTATTTTGCTGGATTCAGAGTAAACGTGCAAACCTCTCGATCGCCTTTGGTGCCATGGAAGACGTCTTTCTGAGTGGCATCCTCTGAGAAACGAGTTGCCCACTGCCCCTTGAAATGAACGGCGTTGACCAGGAAGGCCATCATGTCTGGTGCTGAGAAGTCGTCCGGCAGCAGATCTTTGATCATTCCACGGGTGGCATCCGAGACAAAGCTGTTCACCGTCTGAAATAAGCAAATCGTGCAGTAAATCGTTGTCACTATCGCGTAACTTGATTCACTTCTTCTAAATTATCGGCCAGAAGGATCGATCTAAATGCCTTTCAGAGATTTCATTGTTCTTGCCTTTCGCCCTCGATGTTACGGGACAATTTTGATTTTTTTTACCAGGTCTATTCCGTCAGACTACTTGACATTCCCCACTCCCCATTCAATAACATCAAAAGCGGGTCCCATTAATGAGTCGCGTTTTGGCCCTTTCTCAGACCACCCTGGACTCCGCGCAAACGAAAGACAAAAGCCTATGCATTCATTCATAGCTGATCGGAAGTTGTATGTAGCCTGGGCGATCGACGTGGTTACTATAGTCCAGGTTATTGAAAAAGTAAGGAGAAACGTTTTTCCTGGTACTATCCCGGCAGGTTGTACGGAGAAAAATGCCTCAGTGAAAAGCAAACATTCAACACTTTTTTCCAGATCTTTTGGCGATGAAAGATGACATTGAAAGCCTTTTTCTACCCATCCCTAATCCAAGAAAATCAGGTTTCGCCCATGTCGGAGGGAAGTACATAAGAGGCTGCCTATTCCATGGCAATTTGCATCTCCGCATACGACTGTGCATACGTATCTGTCTCTCTCTCTGTCTCCCTTCCGTCTAGACCCTCGTCGCCCTTGCGGCTGCGCCTCTTGTTACCCTCATATATGGTGAATACATGGCTTGTGTACGGAAATTATCAAAGCTTCTTCTTTTGCTTTCTTTTGTAATAGACCTGAAGCCAGACTGTGTAGGGACAAGAGACAAATCCAAAAGACTTTTATTAGGTTCAGGTGTTACGATCAGCCCCGAGTCGTGACATCACGCTCAAACTAGCTAGTTGCCTTGGAACAACGCATAACAGCCTCGTAGACTGGGTCCCGAATGATGTTGAGCACTGTGAGCACAGTGAATGCCTTCAACTCTTATTTTCCCTTCAATCGCGAGCGGAACTAATCGTTTAAAACTAAACGCGGTCTTCTAGGGCTCTTGTCAGCGACGTTTTCCCCCGCTCCACTCATGTTTTACTTCTAGATTAGGATGGGTTCTATCCTCAGATCCCAAGGGGTTCTATCCTCCTCCACTTCGTTCACACAATAACCTCTATTCTGCATAGCTAGCGGAGTCGCCTTTTATGTTTCTTCAGCTATGTATGTTCATAAGAAGTCCATTCTAAGATATGTTTCTTCAGCTATGTATGTTCATAAGAAGTCCATTCAGAAGATTTGAAAAGCTTTTTTAGTCTTTCTCTGTTCGATAGCCGATAGTCGAAAGAATGCAGTGCTCAAGCACAGGTGGTAACAACCTCGACTGTGAGTTTCTGATCGCGGAAATCAAGAAGTTCAGCGGTAACATCGAAGTCCTTCGACACTTGGTTGTTGTAGTCTTCGTGAAGGGTAGCAGCTGAAAACTGACAATCAATGTAAAATGCTTGGAAATGCTGACCGTCCTTCAAAATGTCAATGTTTCAACACAGTAGGAACAAAACGGAAGGCCTCAACCCACGAAAGGAAAATCGTAAAGAGGATCGAAGGCAGAGAATTCTAATGCCAATGCCTCGAAACTCTGCGATTTCTCCCTTGCTTCATTTTACATTCCCATGCAATTTGGGAGAAATCCAACGCGAAACGTCCCAGAGCCAGACTTAGGAAGATCATCATGATGCTTTTTCCTCAACTAATCCCTGAGTCATCCTTTTTCGAGCACGATGGCGCTACAGCGCATATCCCAGCGGGAGTGAGTGTCCATGGACTTTTTGGTAGTTGTGAATGCTGCAGCGGTCTGCACAGAACAAGATTCTCACAAGTACGACTCCCCCCCCCCGCCTCCAAGGCTCCTGCTCTGGTATAACCCCCTCCCCCTCCAACCCTAGCTACTATTTCCCTAGGTTTTCCCAACTCCGTGTTAGTTTTCGCTGCTTTTCGCCAGCCCGAAAAAACCACAGCATTTCCTTACAACATATAGAGAA